TTTGTAGTAAGAGTTTTTAAACGCCTTCAGTTTGTATTGTCTGTATAATATGTGTATAATGTTTATAGTTAAAAGTTTTTCATATACATTTTCTTTTTTGAGTTATAAATGTTAGAAAATGTCAGTGTTGAAAATGTCTTAGTAAAAAGTAATCATTATCATTAAGGAAAAGAAAAAAATGTGGCTACATTTATTGAGAATAAATACTAGCTGGAGAAGTAACAAGGCTTACATAGATCTGTGAGATCTTCAACATCGGGCCTTGCGCCTACAGCAATTTTAGGTATTTTTGCCTGTTTGGTTTTATGCTCCCCACTTTGCCCTATTCCCTGTAAGCACCCATTCCTTTTTGACCCGTCTAACTCCATGGCAGCCAGATTCTACAGTCATCTGCCAGATCTTCTTAGTTCCCAGCTGTTCCAAAAATCCATTCTCCACGTCAATTCCAAAGCATGGGGCTTAACAATATTTGCAAACGTATATGTCTTAAGCATAGATGCTAGATTTTTATCCAGTCACTTTAAAGTAACTTTCAATATCCATCTATTAATATAATTTATAATATGATGTTCTCATATTTGCCTCACTTATGTATTCCACATTTTTCAAGCACAAATCTTACTTGGTCATTGTACATCGCTTTCTTTAAGCATACAACTGAATTCCATTTTCTACATTCTCTTTCAAAGTTTGCGTCTATTATTATGAAATGGACTATAGTTGTGGTGAGGGTACTACATTTGTTCAGCTTAAGATTATGTTTATGGTATATTTGTAAAACCAGTAGTAAAATTTCTTTTTTATTTTCCTTATCCTCAGGAAATTCAATGAACCTAAAAATTAACTGATTTATTTCTCTTTTTTTAAAAACAAAGTCTTTAAAACTCAGTCATAAAACTGCTCAAGATCAAAATTCAAGGTAGAACTCCAATAAATCAGTTTTTTGCACTCTTATTAATCCATTCTGGGTTTCTGTTCCATCTTGATTCTGTATTAGTAATGTTTACATTCATAGAAATCTATTATTTTATCAAAAATTCCAAACATACACATCTTTTAGTCTCTGTTTATGAGGGTTTAACTCCTTGAAAATTACTAAGATTTGTATTCCTGTTTCCTCACTTTTATTTTTCCAGGAAGTTTTTGAGATATATATTTATTTTATTATAGTTCCTTGTTTTACTATTTTTTCTTGAAAAAAAAACTTCTGGATTAAAATATATGTTTACTCTTTTTATCCTAATTTATTAATTTCTGCTTTTCATTTATTAATTTTTGCTTTTCTATATTTTCTCCACCAGCTGTACTTTTTAATTCATAATTGATTTATTTGCTTTTTGTTTGATAATAAAACATTTAAAGTTATGAATTTTACTCTGTATATAGCTTTGGTTATGCCTCATAGGTTTGATAAGTATTGTGGTTGTGACAGTTTAAGTAATAACAGTTTATAGTTCCTCTTTGACTCAATATTCATTTATTTACTTTTTAATAATTCAGATTTTAGTATGTTTTGGTTATTGATTTATTATCATTTTCTTTTATTATTGAATTTTGCTCACAAATAATGGTTTGTATAATTGCTATTCTGAAGAATTCATTTATGCTAAATTTTTGTTGTAAGATCTGTACATTTAAAAAAATACAAGAATAAACGATTTCAAAGAATCTATATTCTCTCTTCATAAAGTACAAAGTTCAATATATACTGTTAAATACACTTACTATTTTATTAATTCCTGTAATTCCATTGTGACTTTGTTTACTTGACAGATTAAACACTGAGATACTTTGAAGTCTTTGATTCTGATGACTATGGTTTTGTCAGAATCTTCTTGTATTTATAAAATCTTTTGTTTTCTATATTTCAACATCATACTGCCTGAATCCTCAAGTGATAGTTATCCTCTCAGTTTACTTTTTACCTGTCAATCCTCCTTTGCCTAGTTTTAATATTATTATGCCTGTTGTGTTTGTTTTTATATTTTGAAGATGTCTGGTATGGCAACAGAAGTAGGACAGTGGAAGCTGATTTGGGTCATGCAGGATGCACGACTGTCATATGTGGCCAGTGATGACAAAATGGAGTAACATATGTCAAGGTTTCTAAAATGGAGCTGGGAGGCCATTGAGGAAATGGGGCTATGCATGCACACCACGTCTCTGGTCAGATGAAATGGAACTTTTCAACTGTGCTTCACTGCTGTCATCTTGAGCTTCTTTCAAGAAATATGCTTACTCCCATAGATATGAACTTTTTGCCTTAGAGATGGCCTTAGCAACCAATCACACATAGCCAAGAAGTAACAGTTGCTGCTAGCACCAATTAGAAATTTTGCAAAACACCCATGTAACTTATCTCTTTTTGCCTTTATAAACCTTTGCCTCCTTTGTCTTCTTCAGAGAAGGAAGATTTTTGGGTTTCTGCCTGAATCTGTGTCTCCCAACTTGCAATTCTAATTTCCCAAATAAATATCTGCTGTTTACATTCAGTGATTTTTTCTCAGTGGACAAGTATCAAGTAGGATTGATCCCCAAAAGGAATCTGGGTTATGTCATTGTGGCAGAAGAGACAGTGGCTTGAATGTCATAGCAATCAGGAATATATGCAACCAGAAGTTACAGAAAATACTCAACTAGGAACAACTAAATATAAAATAAAGAAAATGTATGAGTTTATTTTTCTATGCCAAGAGCATTGGAATAAGGCAGGTGTCAGTGTATCGTGTGTCCACTCTGGACCTCTTCTTAGCGAGCGGAATCAAGCTGATCACAAAGTTGGTCTCTGATAAAGACTATGATTGCATTCATTAACCAAACATGCAACTACATATTAAATTATCATATTTGAATCAAATTCATTTTATGTTTGATTTTTTTAATTATAGATGGGTATATAGAGAGATAAGAAAAATATTATCTTCAGCAATAAACTATTTTTTTTGGTGGCCCAGCTACCTAAGCCAAAATAAAAATCAATTGTTACAAATTTAAATTTCAGAAAGCATGAATTTCAACAACTTTTAAGACATAAACATTATATATGTATATATATTATATGTATATAATCTTCAGTGTTGATTTAGCATTATAAACATTAAGCATTATAAAATGTTTGAAATCTGAAATATAAACTCTTTCGGAATTGATCTCTATCCCCAATAAAAAAAAGGGTTTTGGTGTTGCTTCTAATAATCATTTATTATTTTTCATCAATTCTACCAAAAGGACATTTGCTATTCAGTATCTCTCACTTAAAAACACTTATGGTTAAATGTATTTTCTCCCATTAGTTTTATTCCATGCAGTAGAAAAAAGCAAACCTTGTAGCTGCATTTTACTACAAGTCTGCCAAAGAAAGTACTGAATGTAAATTCAGATTATGAGTGAATAATGATGTATTTCACCTCATTTTAATTTCAGTAATTGAGTGGGAAAACAAGAAGATCTATTAAAAGGACCCTGTGCTGGTCAAGCACTAATGAGAAAATCTCTGAGTCACTGGCTGTCATGGTAACAGGGCGTTATGGAAATGTGGTTAGTATGCCCAACAGCTACACAAGTGATAGACTAGACTTCTAATTGTGTTGTCTCTGCAAGATGAGCTTTATGTTCCTAAGAGGTGAGAGATGGTGCGGCTCTGTTTATCCGCATACCAGATACGGTGGAGCGCACTGCATCTTCAAAAATTAAGTTCAAACATCTAGTACTAAAGATGAATTATACTTTGAGAAGATTTTCAAAAATTAAAGGAAATCTAGTTCATTCTTGTCATTAACTTATAAATTTCTGAACAATTTATTTGATTTTTATTTCAATCTAACTTCATGGACATTCATACCAATGATAAGACAAAGATGGTTAAAAAAAAAGTTTTATGAAAATAAATCAATAGAGTCCTCCTAAGAACAAAATTTCCCAATGGAATTGTTTAGAAATTGCGCTAAGAACTCTGAGTCTCCGGGAGTAATTAGAACAGGAGTGTTAGAAAGAGCCACATGCAAGACTGTTTACAGATGTTAAGTATAATGATGAACAAGGGAAGACAATTGGATAGGGGGTAGGAGTGGACCACAAGCAACTGTGGGCCAAGCTTTCTGCCACCAGAAATAATGTATCTGTATGTTTAACAATATCTTTCCTTCTATGCCCTTGGCCTTTAGGGTACAGAAATTCAGTGAATTCTGAAAATGGCAAGGCTCAATGCTTTCAGTTCTGCTTTGTTCTCTTTAATATCTTGAGTGTCACTGAATTTTTAAAGAAATTGATCACTGCCTTCCGATCCTTTTTGGTAGATAACTTAATTCTAAAAGGAAAACCTGCAAGCTTAACGAGGCAAGGTAAACACCGGCATGCATTATTGACTAGCAATCCGTGTGCCTTGTCAGACTTGTGAGTACAAGGAGCATTAATAATGCTTGTCTTGGGAAGCTTATTATTCTTGTTAAATGCATCAGCACGTGGACTAAGTTTTACGTGTACGAAATATCAAAAGCAGTCAATCTAAAGTCGATATAATGAAAGCCAAAGGAGCATTTATCTACATATTTCAAAATTCAGTGGAGGGTGTGGGGTTGCAGAGAGAAAAGTGTCATTAAAGCCAGCAAAGTACAAAGTTTCATTTATACAAGGTAAGCCCCAGAGATCTACTGCACACCATAGAGCCTATAGTTAACAATACTGTATTATATGCTTAAAATTTTGCTAAGAAGGTAGATCTTATAAGTGTTTTTCTCATCATCATAATAATAAATAAAGTGGGTGGGCAGAAATTTTTAGAGATGATAGATGTTTACAGTGTAGATTGTGGTGACGGTTTCAAAGATGTATACTTATCTCCAAACCTATAGAGTTGTATACATTAAACATGTACTGTTGTTTGTATGTTATTCATACTTCAGTAAAGTGGTTTAAAAAAAATAATCCAACAGAGTGAAGAAAGAGTAAACAAATGCATTCCTGGAGAGATGAGGCTGGTTCAGGGAGCTGTGCGTACTGACCTGGGATGGAAGCAGCAGTTGGAAAGCCAGTCGGTGTGGCCAAATCCTGTGAGAAGCACGTTGCCTTTGGGGAGCCCCACCACCTTCCAGAGGCGATCCTCCCCACAGGAGACTAAGATGTCTCTGCGGGGGTGCACAATGATGCTGTACAGAGAGAGAGAAGAAAAGAGAGTCATGGAAAGATAACAGTGAAAGGTTTCACATTGTGAATAAATGAAATGGCAGTGATCATCCTCTTTCAGCAAGGCAGAACAGCTCATAGAGTGCTGGCTCAGAAAGCAGAAGAGCTGGTTCCACGTCCTGGCTATACTCTAATGCTTATGGCTTTCTGATCTCCATCAATCTAGTTAACTTCACTGGATCTCAAATTCCTCATTTGCAAAATGAGATGGTTGGTTTAGGTGAATGCTTATGTCTAATTTTGGTCTGAAAACAATAATTCTGGTTTTTCTTCCAGGGAGGAAATTTATGCCAATGATAATTTGGTGTTAGGATGTTTGGACCAGTAACCATGCTTATCATAGAAAATCAAAATGCTTTTCAGACTATAGTATATCTTAAATCAGGCATTATCCAGGAAAAGATCATGAATCATAACCATATTATCATAATTCTATAATAAATACTATAAATGAAACATTAACTCCATGGCCCACTATCTACACAAAGCAGAGGAGCTCAAATTCTGTGCTAATATGCCACTTAACTTTGCTTCAGTCAATGCACAGTACACAAATTACGGTAATGAATTCAGGATGCAAAAGGCAATTCCCATTCTGTAAAGGCATAGAGGGAAATGAGAGAAAAGTATGTAAAATTAATGATTAACACATTAAGCAGTATTATTTGAACCGGGCTATGATCATTGTGGCTATTTAAATATGGAGTTAAACCATCCTAAAATCAAAAGTTTACAAGGTTAATGCCTGATATTTTATCTATGGCAATGCTTTAATCTTATTTTACATAGAGTTTCATCTATGCCTGATAATGTAACAGGAACAATGTGCCCAACGTTAAGCATCTATTAAAACACCAGCCTAAATATTAGCAACAAATTATTCAGTTTCAACATAGCCATCTCAAAACAAAGACAGAATGCATTTACTTGCCTATGTAGCGAAATGAAACAAAAATAATTTTTAAAAATACGCATTCATTTCTCCCACAGTCTATTCTATGAATGACCTTGTTACTTTCTTCTGCAATATAGATTTTAGGAAATCAGTTTCCCAAAGAAATCATGGTCTCAGTTCATATCCACATGGCTAACTCCAGGGCTTACATGAGAGCATATCTTTTCTCGTTATGGATCCCTTCCAGTAATACCATTAAACTTAAAATTTGGAGCTGCAAAATCATGTCCTTCCATTAGATGTATACAGTTTTGGAAATGTGCTGAGGTAATCAATGTTGGAAACATTCAACTCACAGGCACGTAAACACTATGGGCAGGGCCTTCTTCCTAGTGAAGCACTGTTTCATTTTTCTCCAGCCTTTTGCTGCTCAAAATAAACACAGTAGAAGGGAAATTATTCATTTTGCAATTCATCATAATGTTGGTTTGTGACTTTCAGAAGGCCAATTCAGGAAAGGAATTTATTACAGCTCAAACTGCGTAGAGGATACATTTATAGAACTTAATTAGAAGAAAAATATGACGAGAGGTAAAAAATGTCAGATTGAAATGAATTCTATATTCAAATACACATAAGAAGGCAAACCAAATCCTTGAAGCTGCTGAGTATGATGTATGTTGTCTCACAGCTTTCCTGGCAGACACATGCACACTGGACTAGATGATAAATTACCTTCTTTAAGTGACGATAACTAAAATCATTGCTGTCTTTACGAACTTTGAAAGATAAGTTTCCAAAATGACTTTTGGGAGGGGAGCTGTCTGTAGAACTTAGGGGAAGAAGCCAAACACAACCCCATGGGTGGTTAATCAGTTTTGGAAGTGTTTTTCCAGACTCTTCTGACCTCTTCTACTTTGGGGCTTCCTCCATCCCACCTGGACCTTCTACTTCCTCTTCACGTGGACTGATAATATGGACCACACTCTGATTTTTTTTTTTTTTTTGCACGTATATTCCTTTTCTAACACCGACTTCTTTTTTTAACATCTCTCATCTATAAATGACTTTTTTCTAATCATTCTCGATAAATTTCAGTCTAACACCAATATTCTTTAAAGAATATGATATTTTGCTTCATCCATGAAATGGTCTTTAACTGAACAGAAATATTTCCAGCATACATAGAAAGGAATTTAACGCTTTCATAGCAATCAATTAATAAATACTTGTTACTGAATAAGTCACCAAAAAAGTGCATCAGTAAAGACTGGGTCATAGTGATAAAGACCCCCGATCAAGAGTTTCAAATCCCATGACGACATAAAGATATGGAAAGACATTCCATGTACATGGATTGGAAGAATAAACATAGTTAAAATGTCCATTCTACTTAAAGCAATCTACAGATTCAATGCAATCCCAATCAGAATCCCAATGACATTCTTTACAGAAATAGAACAAAGAATCCTAAAATTCATATGGGGCAACAAAAGACCTTGAATTGTTAAAGCAACCCTGAGAAAAAAAGAACAAAGCTGTAAGCATGACAATCCCTAACTTCAAAACATACTACAAAGCTACAGTAATTAAAATGGCATGGTACTGGTACAAAAACAGGTGCACAGATCAATGGAACAGAATTGAAAGCCCAGAAATAAAATCACACATCTATGGACAGCTAATCTTTGACAAAGGAGCTGAGGGCATGCAATGGAGAACAGAAAGTCTTTTCAACAAATGGTGCTGGGAAAACTGGACAGCCACATGTAAAAGAATGAAAATTGACCATTCTTTTTCACCATTCACCAAAATAAACTCAAAATTATCAAAGACCTAAAGGTGAGACCTGAAACCATAAGGCTTCTAGACTCTTTGACATCAGTATTAAAAGGATCTTTTCAGACACCATGTCTTCTCAGACAAGGGAAACAATAGAAAGAATAAACAAATGGGACTTCATCAGACTAAAGAGCTTCTTCAAGGCAAAGGAAAACAGGATTGAAACAAAAAACAACCCACTAACTGGAAAAAAATATTTGCAAGTCATACATCTGACAAAGGGTTAATATCCATAATATATAAAGAACTCACACAGCTCAACAACAAAAAGTCAAACAACCTCATCAAAAAATGGGCAGGAGACACGAACAGACACTTTTCCAAAGAAGATATATGGATGGCCAATAGGCACATGAAAAGATGTTCATCATTGCTGATCATCAGGGAAATGCAAATCAAAACTACACTAAGATATCACCTTACACCCATTAGAATGGCAAAAATAACTAAAACAAATAGTAACAAATGTTGGAGAGTTTGTGGAGAAAAAAGAACCCTCATACACTGATGGTGGGAATGCAAACTGGTGCAGCCACTATGGAAAACAGTATGGAGATTCCTCAAAAAATTAAAAATAGAACTACCATGGGATCTAGCTATCCCACTACTGGGTATCTATCCAAAGAGCTTAAAGTCAGAAATTCCAAAAGTCCTATGCACCCCAGTGTTCATTGCAGCATTATTTACAATAGCCAAGAGGTTGAAGCAACCTAAGTGCCCATCAACAGATGATTGGATAAAGAAGATGTGGTATATATATACAATGGAATACTACTCAGCCATAAAAAAGAACAACATCATCCCATTTGCAACAACATGGATGGACCTTGCGGGAATTATGTTAAGTGAAATAAGCCAGATAGAGAAGGACAATCGCTGTATGACTCCACTCATATGAGGAACTTAAAAATGTAGACAAATAGAACAGATTAGTGGCTACCAGGGGAAAGGTGGGGTGGGGGGTGGGCACAAAGGGTGAAGGGGTGCACCTACAACATGACTGACAAACAATAATGTACAGCTGAAATTTCACAAGATTGTAACCTATCATTAACTCAATAAAAATTAAATTAAAAAAAAACACAGAGTTTCAAATCCCAGCTCAGGTCATTCCACGTGGGAGATGATCAACATGGGGAACATAGGTTAAGGTCCATTTCCCCGGATGCAGAAGTTCAGTGTTATTATCAGCTGTCTGAAATCTTCCTCCTCCTCCTCCTCATCAACTGACGGTAATGATATCCAACATTGTTTGAAAACTTAATGTGCGTCAGAATTTGTACTAAAAGCTTACCTTACAACAAGTGGAATGAGAGCTCATGAGGGCAGGGATTTATATCTGTTTGTTTGCTGAATATTTGCTGTATACTCAACCCCAACAGTAATAATGATATTTCAATAAATGTTTGTCAAATATCTGACTGAATGGTTTAATTTGGTACTGTTAGTTTTGTTATTTTATGATTAAGTAAACAGAGATTGAGATATTATGTAAATTGCTCAAGTTCACATTTAATAATGGATGGATTCAACTGACTTTGAATTCAGTTCAGTCTGACCTTAAGGCTCATGATTTTAGCTACTTCTACTTAGAGTCAGTCTTTCATGGTTTATTTATTATATGCGTGTGTTGTAAACATCAATAATTCTTATTAGAGATGTTATCACTCCCAGGAAACGCTTAAGTCATTTAGTCACTACTAAACCCTGAGTTAAAGAACATGTCTAGGAATTGTCAGTGTAGATATCAGAGCTGGGTGCCACTTGACATAATGGTCTCAAAGAGGTTAGAGGACCCTACCCTTTACAGTTAAAATGCTCTGGTTCAGTGGGAGAAACCACGTGAGTAGCGCCCCTCCTACATTCCTGTCCACATAGGCCTCTGTGCTGATCTTCTACACATTGCACTTAACAAGATCTTTAATTCGTTCTCTTGTGCTAATATTATGAGCCTTGTATTGTACTTCAAGTTGTCAGAGGGCATTGACTTTATCCACCTGTTTTCATACAGCACTCTGTAAAGAATAAATGTAGAAGGATATTTAGTAAGCATTGATTCCATAGGCTTTAAATTTATGAGAATTTTCCCAGTATACTCAGGCCTCAACTTTTATCATTCTGCTTATCTCTGAATCAGTCTGTTGAAGAAGCTGAAGAGTAGGAGAAATAACTAAACCTTATAGGAGTCAGTTCCTGATCCCCAAATTGCTTAAATTAACTCCTTTA